GAGAGAGAGAGAGAGAGAGAGAGAGAGAGAGAGAGAGAGAGAGAGAGAGAGAGAGAGAGAGAGAGAGAGAGAGAGAGAGAGAGAGAGAGATGCTTGCGTGGGGAAGGGTGAAGGATTTAGGAAGATAGGAAATGCAAGTCGATAATCATTACGGAAGATCGATGAAGGAATGTCCGGGGGATGGGATATGTGGGATTGAGAAGTCGCTTGGGGGGGGGTGTTGCTCCCGGCTTTCGTCAGTGTGGGGTAGGGGAGGGGGGGGGAGGAACAGGAGAAGAGGGGGAGAAGTCGAAGACGGAGTTAAGGAGGGAAACGAGTGGAAGGAAATCGAGGAGTAGCACCAGAAGAAGGTGAAAGGTGGGGACGAACGATGTGGCTTGCTCTGCGACGGCTGCCACGTGGCAGCTCCACGTCGGCAGCCAGAGCTTTGGTACATCATCATCATCATCACCGGCATCATTATGATGGCCATTTGGCCAATCTGCTTGTAATGCGTTGCTGTGCATCGGCGGCGGCCGAGACGGTACAACTACCGCAGGTGAGCGAGAGCACTACGACGGGAGCCTCCTACCCTGCAACAGCTTCCCACCAGTTCTCGTCTCGCCGTCATTCAGCTGGCAATGCACCATCCGCTGACGTGGCACAATGGCAGCAGCAGCAGCAGCAGAACCATCAGCTGGCGACTGGCGCCGCTTCCGCGGCGGGAAGGTCAGTGGTGCCGATCCGTGATGACGAGCCGATGGCGGCGGCGGCGGTCTCAGCAGCACACAGGGCGGCAGCAGCAGCAGCGGGGGAAGGAGGGGGAGGAGGGGGAGGAGGAGGAGGTGGAGGTGGGTGGGTCGAGGACGCTAGGGATGCTAATAGGACGCCATGGCAAGGAGCAGAAGCGCTGACGGTTTTGAATTCGATGCGGCTACTCCCCTTGTACAACCTGCTGAATTTAAGCAGATCCAGATCGTACGATGCCAGTCCAGCCGGTCCGAGATTGGGATTGGGATTGTGGCCGCGTCCGCCGCCGCGACCTCAAGAGGGTCTATTATGGTGGGATCTATGGGAAAGAGAGGGGCCGTCATCGTCGACATCGTCATCGTCTTCCCCGTCCTCTTCTTCGTCTTTGTGGGAAGAGGGCTGCAGTGCCTCTTCTTCCTCTTCCACCTCCACCACCTCCTCCTCCTCCTCCTCCTCCTCCTCCTCTTCTACCTCCCTTGCTTTGTGGAAGGACGATAGGTCTTTTTCTCCCTCCTCTTCCTCCCCTTCCTCCTCCTCCTCCTCCTCCTCACGTTCCTGGGAGAGTACGTCAACGACGAGTCTGGAGAACAACAGCAGCGGCAGCAGAAGTAGCGCCGACATTGAGAGAATGGTGGCGGAGGAGAAGCTGCGCAAAGAACAGGTAGGTATGGAGATGGTCGACGAGGAGAATGTTGAGACGAAGATTACCGGGCCTACCGCTCTGGAGGCGGAGTACTTGAACATCCCGCCAAATTTTTGGCGCGAATCTCCTCGCAAGCTGATGAGCAAGCAATGGGAACTCGAGATGAAGGTCCTGGAAGCTGCCATTTCACGTCATCGCGAGCTTGTTAAGGAATTGGGCAACAAAAAGCTCACGTCTCAATTGGGCGCCTCGAAAAGGCTTTTGGCCAGATGGTATGGACCTCTAGTTGACTCCATAGCCGACGAACAGGCCATGATTCGGAACAGGGTTTTTGCACCCGATAGGAGATCCTACGGTGTTCATCTGTTGATGCAATCGGCCGAGAAGTTGGCGGTCATCACTCTGCACACCGTCATCAACGTGATATTCAGCGAGCCATCTCGACAAGCAAGGCTAGTCACACTCGCGCAGTGGATCGGCAAGACCGTGGAAGCGGAGACGAACACCGATTGCTTTCTGTATACCTCATTCTTGCGAAAGAAGAGTGGTGGTCGCGGTGGTGCAGCAGGGGGGAAGGAGGCTTCCGCTGCCGCAGCTGCTGCGGGGGAGGAGGGGAAGGGGTTGGCGGCGGCGAAAGGCAAGGGCAAGAAGCAGAGCAAGAGGAAGAAAAAGAGGACGGAGGACAGTGAGGATTCTGCTGCTGCTGCTGCTGCTGCTGCTGCGGCTACTGGGCCCAGTGCGGCGGAGATGTCCGGGAAGAAGGGTTCCAGTTTGGGCGGGAAGGAGGGACTCCAAGAGGAGGGCCCAGAATGGGGCAGCCGAGAAAGGGTCTTTGATAAGAGGACTCGGCAGGCGATCGAGGAAAACATGGCGGAGTATTTGAGACGGAAAAAGATCGTGCAAGATGTCCTCCGGACGAACAGCGTGAGATCGGATGTGGTTGCTCGACATAGCCGGGTGGCGCTTGGGGTGGAGCCGTGGGGGGGAGAAATCAGTGTCAAGGTCGGGGCCGCCTTACTCAGTCACCTGCTGGCCACGGCCTTCGTGGAAGAACCGTCTTCTACTTCTACTGCGACGTCCGGTACAAAGAAAAGGGGCGGCGAAAGGGAGAAGAAAGAAGGTGGTGGTGGTGGTGGGGGGGGGGCCGGCGGCGGTGCGGAAGGCGGGGATCTGCGGCCAGCTTCACCTTTTTCTCAAGGAGAAGGCAAATTAGCCGGCGCTCAGCTGGACACAGTGAAGAGAACCCCCGCCTTCCTTCTCGATCGGAAGAGGATGAGAGCTACGGGCAAAGGGCAGAAGAGACAGTGGAGACCGTACAACGTGCTGGCGGTGAACGAGAGGATTTTGGAACTCATCACGGAAGCATCGCCGCATGCGACGTTGATACGCTTCATGCCGATGATCGTGCCGCCCAAACCGTGGCGATCGTGGAAAGGCGGGGGGCATTATTTCTTGCGGACGAACTTGATGCGCACGTTGCCGGGGAGCACGGCGCAGGTGCGCGCGCTGAAGAGGGCGACGTATCGGAAGACGATGAAACCGGTCTATCAAGCGCTAAATGCGCTGGGATCGACGCCGTGGCGGGTGAACAAGAAGGTAGCGCAGGTGGTGGAGGAGATTTGGGAGAAGGGAGGTGGTTTGGCAGGGATGGTGTCGAGAAAGGACGAGGAGCTTCCTCTCCCTCCCGCCTCTCGAGACGACGATGCGGGACGGCGGGCAGCGAAGTTTGCCGCCAGCAAGGTCAAGCAAAGGAACGCCGAAAGGCATTCTCTTCGCTGCGACCTCGAGATCAAGCTTAGCGTCATGCGCGGATTCCGCGACCTGGACAAGTTCTACTACCCTCACAACGTCGATTTTCGCGGGCGAGCCTATCCCATCCACCCTTACTTTCAGCATCTAGGCGCCGACGTGTCAAGAGGCATGCTCCAGTTCGCTGAGGGGAGACCCTTGGGGAAATCAGGACTGCGGTGGCTGTTTATCCACTTAGCGAATCTCGTCGGGGCGGACAAGTTATCTTTCGACGATCGCGTCGCGCACGTCGAGGGGCTTCTCCCGCTTGTGCTCGACTCGGCGCGCAATCCGTTGGGCGGGGAGCGGTGGTGGATGACCGCCGAAGACCCTTTTCAAGCGCTCGCGGTGTGCTTCGAAATTGCCGAGATCCTCGAAAGCCGCGGGCACGCGGAAGACTTCATCTCCTACCTTCCTGTTCATCAAGATGGCTCCTGTAATGGCCTGCAGCACTACGCAGCTTTGGGCAGGGATCGAACCGGGGCCAGACAGGTCAACATGCTGCCGATGGATCGACCTGCTGACGTTTACACCGCCATAGCCAACAGGGTAGACGAAATAGTGCGGGAAAATAGCGCGCAGGGCGACCGCATCGCGTCGCTGTTGGTGGGCCATGTTGATCGAAAGCTAGTCAAACAGACTGTCATGACTTCGGTCTATGGGGTCACGTTCATGGGAGCGCGGGAACAAATTCGCGCGAGACTGAAGGAGAGGGGTGTAATTGAAGATGAAGGCGATCTATGGAGGGCATCCGTCTATGCCGCGAAGACGACGTTGCGCGCCATGGAAGATGTCTTCACGTCGGCGCGGGACATAATGACGTGGCTCGCGGAATGCGCGCGAGTGATCGCGCAGGCGGGGGAGCAGGTGCGGTGGACCACCCCTCTCGGCCTCCCCGTGGTTCAACCCTACACGTTGCCTGGTCGGAAGTTGGTGAGAACGATCTTGTCACGGCTGATCATCCATCTGGATGACGACAGCATGCCCGTTGCGATTGCGCGCCAACGCAGCGCTTTCCCGCCAAATTTCGTCCACTCCCTCGACAGCTCTCACATGATGATGACGGCCATCGCCTGCTCTAAGGCTCAGCTCCGATTCGCCGGCGTGCATGACTCCTTCTGGACGCATGCGGCAGACGTCGATCAGCTCAACGGCATTCTCCGAGAGCAATTCATCGCCCTGCACACCAAACCGATCCTGGAGCAATTGTGGACAGAATTCCGCCAACGACACCCCAAGCTCTCTTTTCCCGACGTCCCCGAGAAGGGAGACCTCGACCTGAACCAAGTGCTAGACGCTCCTTATTTCTTTGATTGACGGATGGGACGATAATGATGATGATGATGAGGAGGAGGCGGAGGAGGCGGAGGAGGAGGAGGAGGAGGAGGAGGAGGATTCACTGGTTGGTTCGGTTTGACATGATCGGCCTGCAATGGTTCGCTAGGTCGCCGCCGTTCATCGATCTCCATCATAGATCCATGGATCGACGGATGAACTTATTTGATTGATTGATGATTGGCTGATCCAGTGGCGGCGGCTTTGTTGAGTGATTGATTGATTGATAGATTGATTCATTGATTCATTGATTGATCCAGTGGCTGATCAATTGAATTATTGATTGTTTGATTGTATGATTGATGGACGGAGCCCCCTTGAATTGGATTAGATCGATTGATCGGTCCCGGATCGATGGTCACTTCTCGTCAACACCTCTCTCCTTCTCTTTCCCCTGTCATTAGTTCGTAGTCGAGGTGGTGGAGGTGCTCAGAATGTGGTAAGAGAATCCGAAGAGAAAATTGGGGGAGAGAGTTGGGAGAGAGAGTTGGGAGAGAGATGGGGGGGTGAGAGTTGGGAGAGAGATGGGGGGGTGAGAGTTGGGAGAGAGATGGGGGGGTGACGATGCGCTGACGCGGCAGGAGGGAGGTCGACAAGAAGGCGATTCAAAGGAGCATTTTCTCCAGAGGTTAGAGGTGATGAGAATTTGGTAAGAGAATCGGAAGAGAAAGTTGGGAGAGAGAGAGAGAGAGAGTTGGGAGAGAGATCGGGGTGACGATGCGCTGATGCGGCAGGAGGGCGCGCTGACTCGGCAGGAGGGTGCGCTGACTCGGCAGGAGGGCGCGCTGACTGGGCAGGAGGGTGCGCTGACTCGGCAGGAGGGCGCGCTGACTGGGCAGGAGGGCGCGCTGACTCGGCAGGAGGGCGGTCGACAAAAAGGCAATGCAAAGGAGGATTTTCTCCGGAGGTTATCGTCGGGGCAATCTTCTGCTTTTCTTCTTCTGCCCTCTGAACTGAAATTACTCTCTCTTCAGACTTGTTTACAAGCGCTTAATTACAACCTCAGAAACGGTGTCAAGCACGCACTCAGGGATAGATAGATAGATAGATAGGCCGGTAGGTTGACTGATTAATAGATAGATTGATTGACAGATATGCATAGATGTAGGAACACAGGTATAGGTAGATAGATATATAGATATATAGATAGATTGATAGATTGATAGATTGATAGATTGATTTATAGGTTGTTGGATAGACAGATAAGGACGTAAAAGAGCTGAGCTTGCTGATTGGAGAGGATTGGGGAAGGAGGAGAGAGAGAGAGAGAGAGAGAGAGAGAGAGAGAGAGAGAGAGAGAGAGAGAGAGAGAGAGAGCATAGGATTTCCAGAGAGATTGTTACTTTTTGTCGTTGCCAGATGAGAGGATCAGAATAGAGAGAGTACGCTCTTATCAACAAAGAGTTCAAATTTTGGAATCAATCTTTCTGCAGCTGCTGCTGTGGAATCTCTTGAGTGTGCTGTTTCATTCTTCTCTGCCCCTTCAGTTCCTGTCTCCTCCCATGCGAAATTTTAGTCTTGAGATGTCTCTTGAAGTGTAAATTCATAAATTCGACAATTTGAATTTTGAACGTGTACAAATCAAATTATGTTTCGATCAATCCAGTCCAATTATGTCTCGCTTATTCTTGCAACTGGGCTTGGAAAAAATGGAAATGGAAATGGAAGTAGAATTTTGTTCTGTTAAAAAAAAATAAAAAAAAAATAAAAAAAAATTGGTCTGAGTTTCAGGTTCCCTTTGCACGTCCGGACATGAGCAGTTGCCCAAAAAAGTTTTCTCCTCTACTCTTCTCTTCTTCTTCTTCTTCTTCTTCTTCTTCTTCTTCTTCTTCTTTTCAGTAAGAGTATTATTAGCAGAGTATTCTCTTCTGATAATGCTGTAAAATTTGCCAGATCATTCAGCAACATGACAGATCAATAGAAAAATGACAAGAGATTTCTATTTCCTCCATGGCGTCCTTCGAGACATCCGTTAAAGTTCAACGACACAGAGAAGATTAGCATCGCCGAGACATCCCTTATAGTTCAATGATGCAGAGAATATTAACATGACCCCTGCACACGGATGACATGCAAACATTCGAGAAATGGTAAAAAAAAAAAACAAGTTCTCCACAGTGGGCTATCCGTGTGTGTGTGTTGTCATATTAGCTATACACAACTCCACAAAGAAAAGACATGATTGTGCCAGACTGTTTTGTCGGACTTTCACCAACTCATCAGGAGGTTGTCTGTTGTTTTAGACTGTCGCTAGAACAAGCCCTTTCCCACCCCGATGAGTAGATCCAAAATTGAAACAGCCTTACTGTATTATCTTCTATGATACTTTACATGATATTGTGATTTGCAATGTTTTTTGGCGAAACGGCGGTTTCATTGTTGTGTTCTGAGAGGTGCAAGGTCCACCACATCTGTGTACTTTTGCGTGGAATGTGTACACACTCGTTTGCTTCTCGGCACACTTGCACCTTATGTTTCTGTCCTCTTAGTGTGCTCATTCATATGCTCTTAGTAGTTCTCCACCAGGGGAGTGAGAGGAGGAAGGGGGAAGAGGAGGGGAGTAGAGGGAGGAGAGGAGCGAAGGGAAGAGGAACCTCATAGGGTCCTCAGTAGTGACTGGCAGAGCAGATTGCCAGAGACTGACACAATAGGTTAGTCAGGGGTTGGGTTGCAGAGCAAAATGAGTTGAGATCCTTGAGAAGCCGAGGCATTTTCAATGGTAAAACTAGCGAGCCCTGGAGACCGGACAGTACTGATTCAGGCGTGGACTGTGGAAGCACCGCATCAAATTCTGAAAAAAGTATGCAATGAGTGGTCACAAGCTCTGCCGCGTCCGGAGAACAATCTGGGCGAGCCTCCACCCTCCCCTCCACCTGGCCAGGCTGTGCCGCTTGCCTGTGCAAATCAGATGGATTCCGCCACGGATGGTGAGAGGGCCCCTTCGGAGGACGGTCGCTGCGCCGTGCCATTGTGTTTGTATACAGGCACTGTCCGGTCATTATGTACACTACAC